GATAATTTCTTTATATGAGGGTGTCATCCTTTTGTTCGGTATTGTACATGTCCAGCGGGAGTTCTATGACTTTGTAATTTTACATCCTTTTAAAGAAAGATAAACACGTAGACAAATCCATGATTTCAATTAATTTAAAACATGAATTGAAAGAGTACTAGTTTCACATAATTCAAAAATTAATTTATATGTATATTCTTCTAAATGTGTGAATTGTTTGTATCGTTCTTGAAGTATTGGTGATCATGGTAATTTTCTATCACTTCTTGAATGATTTTAAAGACATTTTGTCTATTGAATATGTATACTTATGAATCTAAATTAAATGGTAATTTAATTAAGCAATTGGCACAGTTTAAAACATTTAAAAATTCTAAAGAATTTCCATTTTATATGTGCAAAATAAGTATCAACATCATATATTAATTCCTTTTCTTGTGACAGGTTCAAAATTAGCTTTATGATTTAGCTTCCATGATACATGCATGTGCTATAGTAATAGCTAATTTAAAAGTATTGCCCGCTATTTTTTTTCTTCTTATGTATTTATATTTTCTGTTGGAAATATACATATTTTTGATGACTTATTATACCGAGTATGTTCAAGAAGAGGCTAACTTTAACACTGAGCGCTGACATCCATACATGGGAGTTTCTTTGTTCTTGCACACGTCAAAATAACCACTACACCCAAGATGAAGTCACATTACATTAAAAATATTTTGTACAGAAATCAGTATTTTTAAAAAAAGATGACGCTTTTAAGACAGCAATTGAATTAACTTCGATGCTTGAATCTGGTTAACTACCTTGCATTTTTTTTTAAATTAAAGAAAGATAAACTGCACACAAAGCAGTATAAGTATTTGTTACATTGCAACTATCCCATCATCACCTCCGAGTCTAAGTCCATATTTGGGCATGGTAATAAATTCCTACACTGACAATTTTGTCAGACATGCATGCCTATGAGGGCGATTTAATGAAATTCCAGTGTTATGTTTACCCCTTGGGAGAACCTCCAATCACGTGGACATGGTATTGTGGGGAAGAACAGATGACCAATGTAACATTTTCAGGCACATATACTTACATGAATTTTACAGCGACTAGGAATCATGACGGGAAATCTTGCTATTGCAGAGCGAAATCACACTCAACTGTTTTCTTTTACGACTACCCGTCTAGTTCTCGTTATGTGATACGTGTTTATTGTAAGTATGCGTTTACATTATATTTTTATTGACTTCTTGATTAAATGGCAAGTAAATTCTTAATGCAGCAACAAAAATCACTTAAAACAACTGGTCCGGTGTTTCCTTGGTAAAACAGCAAAGTAGCTATTAATCCCAATTTTTCTTTGGAATTGGTGTTGCAAGGTTTTAAGGATGCATATTTGCCAGTCTTGAGTTTTCATTCTGCTGAAGACAGTAGCATTAAGCCAATCTTAGTTACTGATTTTGCTTGGTTACAGTGTGTTACCATGGCAACCATAAAAGTTATTTAAAGAATAATATTGCATATACCTATACTCAGGGTCAATCATTTTCATTGTTTTTCTTAAATTGTTGATTGAGTTTGAGCATATACCACATAGCATTAGTGAATACTGAACGTTTTTCAGCATATTTCAGCATTTTTAAAAAAATGTCTTCCAAATGTACCTCGGTTACCACTTACTTAGAGATATATTCTAAACAGTTTCCTTACAGTATAAGTGGCAAAAAGGTGACATGTTTTTGTGACATGGTTTGTTAGCTTTTCCTAGTCTTTATTAAGGCTCAGTAAAGATTTAAGGTAGCAGAAAATCTCAATTTTTCAGGCTGCTACCATGACAACCGAGAAACTTAGCAACAAAATTTTATTTGATATATGTTTTTGGTGTCACTTACTAAGAATGGGTGAAGTTTCTTCAAAATCGGTGACCATGCTTGGCAACGAAGATTAAATGGTTACAGAGAATGGCTCTAAATAAATAATTGTCTTTCTCCATGCTTTGTTTTCTTACTATACTCATTAAATTATTTGAAGATGATTTTGCCATAACAGAGTCAATCTGTGCCCCAAACTTAAAGTAATGCAAATACAAAAGATGCCTTTTCCCTATTAATATGCTTCATGTGTGTTAGTAAAATAAAGATAAAGTTACCATTTGAAATTAATTCGAGTATGTATCTCATATATTTTATTTTATTACACATAACTTGATATATATGCCTTGAATATAAACTTCCTGTTTTAAGTATAAATCAGGGAAGAACCTAGAAATATATTTTACTTTTTAAACATGTTGCATGCTTTAAGAAATTAAAGACTATACTTGGAATATTTTTTTAATTCTATTTTTTGCCATACTCATCATTAGAATTAAATTGGAATTGGTGTTGCAAGGTTCTAAGGATGCATATTTTCCAGTCTTGAGTTTTCATTCTGCTGAAGACAGTAGCATTAAGCCAATCTTAGTTACTGATTTTGCTTGGTTACAGTGTGTTACCATGGCAACCATAAAAGTTATTTATAGAATAATATTGCTTATACCTATATACTTAGGGTCAATCATTTTCATTGTTTTTCTGAAGTTGTTGATTGAGTTTGAGCATGTACCACATAGCATTAGTGAATACTTAACGTTTTTCAACATATATTTCAGCATTTTAAAAAAATTGTTTTCCAAATGTACCTCGGTTACCACTTAGAGATATATTCTAAACAGTTTCTTTACAGTATAAGTGACAAAAAGGTGACATGTTTTTGTGACATGGCTTGTTTGCTTTTCCTAGTCTTTATCAAGGTTCAGTAAAGATTTAAAGTAGCTGAAAGTTTCAATTTTTCAGGCTGTTACCATGGCAACCGAGAAACTTAGCAACAAAATTTTATTTGATATATGTTTTGGTGTCAAGTACTAGGAATGGGTGAAGTTTAATCAAAATCGGTGACCATGCTTGGCAACGAAGTTTAAATGGTTACAGAGAATGGCTCTTAATAAACAATAACGAGTATGTCTTTCTCCATGCTTTGTTTTCTTACTATACTCATTAAATTATTTGAAGACGAACATTGTCTTCGTTTGTAAGGCTCATTATATAAATTGCATTCTAGAAGAACTTGGATTTAATTCTACAAGTGGTAATCCTACTTATACCCATACTTCTCTTTCTCAGGAAGAAATTCTTCAAAATCACCTGTCAGTTTTGAATACTTTTAATATTCCACAGAGCCAAAATGAATTTGAACTACCTTATATATATATTGGATTCCGAAACTTACAAACAAAGATCCTTACAAACAAATCCTTACAAACAAAGATACATTGTAGGTTCCAATAAATATTCAACCAAGCCTCTTTCGTTACTTCTCACTAAGATATTGACAGAAGTGAAGGAAAAACTTCAAGAGTACTTTGCAACTATATATTCAAGAAGTGGTGTAAATCAGATGCGGATACTTAAAAATTCTAAAGAACTTTTGGACAATTTGAAATCACCAGACTTTACAAAAATCAACAGCTTAAAAACTTACGACTTTTCAACTTTATACACAACAATTCCCCATGACAAATTAAAATCCAGGCTTTTTGATATCATTGACAGCTGCTTCTTCAATAAAAATGGAACTCGTAAATTTACTTACCTCGTTATTGGTCATTTGCAAAATTATTTTGTTAAAACAGATTCTGATTGCACACATAAGTACTCTGAAGTTGACATCAAGAAGATGCTTGAGTTCCTGATTGACAATATCTATGTGGTTTTTGGAGACCAGGTATTCCAACAATTTATTGGAATTCCTATGGGTACAAATTGCGCTCCGTTATTAGCAGACTTATTTTAATATTCATTTGAAGCAGAATTTATGCAAAATCTTATGCGTGAAAAGAAGAAAACAAGAAAACACTTGCTGTGGCCTTCAACTCGACATTTAGATATATCGACGACGTATTGTCAATTAATAATGATAATTTCCATTCCTACGTCGATACGATATATCCTGGTGAGCTTGAGATAAAAGATACCACAGAGTCCGAAACTTCTGCTTCATACTTGGATATTTTACTTGAAAAAGACACTAATGGTAATCTAACAACCAAGCTATATGATAAACGTGATGACCTTAACTTTTCTATCGTCAACTTCCCTTACTTATGCAGCAATATACCTTCATCACCTACATACGGAGTATATATATCTCAGTTGATTCGATACGCAAGAGCATGCTTTACGTATGAACAATTTCTTAAACGAGGTAAATTATTGACAAGCAAGTTGATAAAACAAGAATATCAACAGTCTCGTTTAAAGTCATCATTTCGTATGTTCTATGGTCGATACAAAGACCTTGTCAGCAGATACAATTTATCATTGAGTCAAATGCTGACTGACGTTTTTCATACCAATTGTTAGTCCATTATTTACACACTGAATTGACGACGGATTTTTTCCGTTATTTCCTGATCATGACAAGGAGCACACGGCGGGTGTGACCGGTCAGCAGGGGATGCTCACTCCTCCATGGCACCTGATCCCACCTTTGATGTTTTGGAGGTCCGTGTTTGCTCTGCTCCTATTTTGTATATTGTTTAATGAACGTTAAGATTGAATACTGTTCGATATCTCCATATCCTTCTTTGCCATAACAGGGTCAATCTGTGCCCCAAACTTAAAGTAATGCAAATACAAAAGATGCTTTTTCCCTATAAATATGCTTCATGAGTGTTAGTTAAATAAAGATAAAGTTACCATTTGATATTAATTCGAGTATGTATCTCATATATTTTATTTTATTACACATAACTTGATATGCCTTGAATATAAACTTCCTGTTTTAAGTATAAATCAAGGAAGAACCTTAAAAATATTTTTTACTTTTTAAACATGTTGCATGCTTTAAGAAATACTATACTTGGAATATTTTTTTTAATTTTATTTTTTGCTAATACTCATCATAAAAATTACGCTTTTATGCACATAAAGATTTATAGAGTACAAATTTACGTGGGCATGGAGCTTTGTTTAGAAATTTGGTTATATATTTTAAATGAAAATCATAACTTTTTTAATCACCGTGTATGGAGCATTAAATTTTCAAATGTAATTTGATGACTTAATGTTGACTTTTGTAAGATTCACCTCGGACACGACCAAAGATCTATCCTGTGTCTCCTACAACTGTAGGGAGCGGTGAGTACGTTACCATCAAGTGTAATCTTACAACACTGGGCTATCCACAAATATCATGGAGATGGATATGTGACGATCTGCCTCCCCTGAATGGAGTAGACCTAGGAACAGAGACTTACTTAGAAATCAAAGTAACTGCACGACACAATGGGATGGCTTGCAGATGTAGAGGAATATCTTCCTCTATCTATGTATACGATGAGCTTTCAGATCCAGTCACAATCTTTCTTTACTGTAAGAATTACAAAATAATAAAATTTATAATTTTGTGCGTCTTTAAAAGTGATTCTAGCTAACATTATGATTATGATGTATTTTACAATTGATTTTTTGAATCATTATTTTTTTATTTTGACAAATGTTTCAAATATTATGCATAACATAGCACTTTATTAATAAAATTTCCCAACGAATACGTAATGAGAGTATACATTTTTTTTTTTTAAAAATTATATATTGTAAAATCACATATTTTCAAGGGGTCAACTTTCGTGGTTTGAGGAAAATATATTGATTCATGGGAATTTGATTTCGTGGTTGAAGAATTTTTTAGTACTAATATATGTGAAAAATTGCATTTCGTGGTGAACATAATTTCGTGAGTCTCTTCAAACCTTGAAAACCACGAAAATTAGTAATTTCACAGTATTTGATATCAGTTGAATTAGATAAAAATATTGCTTTTCTCTTCTTCTTAGACATACGCTATTATTCTACATAAAAATGTAAATCAATAACTCTGCATCATATTCTTTACTTAAAGTCCAGACAGAGTCACAAGAAATAACCCCAGAAGCTGGACTTGCTAAAGAATGTATAAAAGCTACGGCTTTTGGAACAACTACTGGGCTACTGTCAACTATTGTCATTGCTTTAAGCTCTGTCCTCCTGATACAGTATATAAGAAAAAAGAAAGGAAACGTTTGTTCTTGTGGACATTCTGGTGAGCCATTCAATACAGGCTAAAATAAAAAGTAGAACGGAAATACGTGTACGCTTCTTTATAAGTTACATCAATAATATTCATATAACGAGATTCACTTTGTGCGATAACCAGTAAATCATGAAAGCTTCATTTTATTTTTATGCCCCTGGATGAGAGATCCCGGTGGTATATTGTTTTTGTCCTGTCTGTCTGATTATCCGTTTTTTTTGTTTGTTTGTTTGTTTGTTTGTTTGTCTTTCTGTCTGTCTGTAGTCAACTTTAACCTAGCCAATATCTATTGATTGGATGGGGCTATGGCTTCACATTTCACAGGTATATTCCTTTTAATAAGGCCCTTCTTTGGATACCACCGAATTTAACCACTTGTCTTTGGAGTTTGGCCTATTTTTACAAAAAAATACCACACTTTAACCTTGGCCATAACTTTTGATCAATTAGAGCTAGGGCATTCATACATTACATCTGTATTCATTGTTACAAGACCGTTCCACTGCTTTAAATATTTTTTACCCTTTGACCCCCACCTAAGAGTTTGACCCACTTTTTAAAAACTTTAACCTTGGTCAAAACTTTTGAACAGTTAGAACTAGGGCTTTCATATTTCACAGGTGTATTCCTTTTGATAAGACCTTTCTTTGGGTACCAACAGTTTTGACAATTTGACCTTGACCTCTGGAAAATTGAAATGCATTTAACCCTCACCATAAGCTGCCATATAAGGGCATCGGTGTTTCATGAACACATCTTGTCATACAGTATCACATGTACTTCAGCTCTATTTATAATTAAATTTATATGCTATTTCAGAAAAAAACGAAGAGGAAAAAGCAAGGTATCCATTTTTAAATAAAAAAAATATTTGCTTTTATTTATTTCAGCAGTATTTATAAATGAAATTCATCATTTGGAAGATTATTGCCTTGAATTCTTTTTTATAATCTTCGTCCTTTATAGCAGTAACAACAAAAGCCACCAGAACCCTATTTATACTAATGAGGAGTCCTACGAAATACTTCAAGTTAACAAAGGTAAATCATACCAGAATGTGTAAAATTTTAATCTATTTAACTCTAACAAATTTTAATGGTGTTGTAGCTACATTATTATACAGCTTTGTCTTTAGAATATTTTTCTAGCTCTACTCGGGCATTGAATTTGTAGGGGGAAAATATATTTATTGCAATGCATGCAGACACAAAGTACTTTGATGATTTTCTATTTCAGACAGTTTACATATATAAATCAATGGTATAACAAATTACTAAGCGGAACTTAAAAAGATTGAAATTGGATTCATGGTACTGAACACCAAGTCTACTAGTCTTGTTATACCAATACATTCTAAAAGACAATGATTTAATCATGTTTGTGTATTCTGCTTTATCTTGCATCTCATTTTCATTACTCTCGAATGTTATCAGGTTTATATAGTTCAAAGTTGATAAAAGCGGGTGTCGTAGAAATTCTTGATTATTCCGTATAAAAAGAAAAACATAACCTCCGAGGCATAATGACAATTTATAAGGCGGGAATGTAATTATCAACGAAAAACAATATCTATTTACGTTAAGGCATATCATTTCATCGATTACAACAAATTCTTATATAGCGACCTGTTGGACTTTAAGAATGTAGGAGATTCCCTATTCAAATCACAAAAAATGTAATGCTTTGCTATATAATTTATTTATAAAATACTTATATATCTCATATATTTTTAAAAAATCAATAAATATGATTCATATGTGGATATAATGAACAGTTTGAATTATAATTGTACATTTGACTGTGTATAACATTGTATTTACAGTGTTATGTGAAAGGTGAAGAAAATAAATAGCGATCAATCTCAAATTATAGTTGCCAAAACGTTTTGTGAAGAATGCAAAATCAAAGACCATAAGAAGCGTCAAAGATGGGATCAGGTGCTTAGGGGATGTAAGCATTTCAAAATTAAACAAAGCTGGAACATACTAAAGACCTGATATACGAAAGACCTGATATTTTGACCTGATGAAATAAAAATTATCAATTTAAACTTTTATTTCATATTTTTGAGGGTAAATTATTGATGATAATAGCTGAAACTATATTAAATTACATTTTTAGTGGATAATATGTAGATTATTTTGCTATATATCAAGGTATATTCACAAAACTTGATGACCTGATAATTTTGAATGACCTGATATTTCAACTTTAAAGACCTGATATTCTTAAATGAAATGGAATTGCTGCAAATATTCAAATTTTATAAAGTTTAACATTGAAAAATGTTTTATTTTCCTGAAAATATGTAATATAATAATAAATCAGATCATTTAAACCCTGGTCTTATCAAGTCATTCAGAAATATCAGGTCATCAAAAATATCAGGTCTTTAGTAGGAAATCATCAGGTCATTTCAAAATCCTTTTTTTTTCATAAATTGCTGCAAACATTTTCTTTTCAAAACCTTTTAAAATATTTTACCTTTCTTAAAGAATAATTTAATATATGGTCATTTAGAACCATCCTTTACAAGTCATTCATAAAAATATTAGGTCTCCCCTAAAAATATAAGGTCATTCAAAAATATCAGGTCATTCAATAATATCAGGTCATCAACTTTTTGTAAGTATTCCTTGATACAAAGTCAGTGTTATCCCCTAAAAAGTGTAATTTAGTATAATTTCATCAATAATTTTTCAACTTATATTTGAAGTATGATCTTTAAATTGATAATTTAATATATGATTTTTTTTCATCAGGTCAAAATATCAGGTCTTTAGTATATCAGGTCTTTAGTATGTTCCAAAAAAGCTTAAAAACGTTATCTGTGTTTGAAATTATGTGTATTGCATGTATCCGTTACACTTTTACGTAAAATGATATAATCCCACTTGATTCATATCAAAAAAGAAATTTGCTATAGAATTTATTTCTTTAACTGATGTTTAATAAATGTGCGAACAGGTAAATCAACATTAGGCTTCTATTATGTCACAAAACTCCAGTTATATTTTAATTATAAACGATACTATATTACTTTTTATATTGAAAAAAATAAACTTATGCATAAAATACCATTTGTTTGTTTTTTATCAATGATAACAATTATATATTGAGAGAATATACATGTATATAAAAAAAAAGACTGGAAAATTACAACCATTCATCAATATACATCAATGTTTTTCATTTTATATTTACAGCCACTGAATATTTTCTCCTTTATTTCTTAAGAAAACCCATTGCGTTAATCACTGCATGAACTACATGTACATTAGGCATGTCGCCTGTACAGATTTCTTGATCAGTGGCTGTTCCATCAATGAAACGTATAAAGACGTTCACACCATTAATACAATAATTATTCTTTTTAATCCTACTTTAAATGAATAATTGAATATTTTTCCGAAAAAATAACAAAACATGTTTCTTGGATGATAAAGGCCACAGCTTTAATAATTATTTCAATGACAAATGTCAGACAAGCATTTAACAATCATTGGGTGCCACACACCTAAATCAGTAACGGGTGTTATGGCACCTCGCCTTCTAGGGTAATCCATAGCAAGGCGTAACAATATTTATAAATCGACTCCTAGGGTACCCCTTAGCGAGTCAGCTGGGATATGTAATTGCCTCCTAGGGGATTCCTTAGCGAGGCTACTACCTGTTATACCGAACAGGTAAGCCCACTATACCGAGTAGGGCAAAAATAACCACCCGTTATACCGAACGGGGTACGAGGTTACTGTTATACCGAACAGATTCCTCATACAAGCTCTTAGTGCACTCCATAGCAAGCTTGTATTGGCTCGTAGGGTAGCCTTAGCGAGCCACCACATGCTCTACCAATCACGTAAAATAGATAATCATACATAAACAATAATTAATATAATGATGACAAATGTCTCTGCTTGTCTGGCATATCGGTAAAGCTGCAACAGCAACATATCGTCATTCCTCCGTCCCATTGCCTGTATATTACAATCTTGCGCACATAAACATAAAACATCCATAGTTAATTGTAACCTGAACAAGAGGCCCACGGGCCTTATAGGTCACCTGAGTATCATGCGACAACTTTCCAACAATTGAATTTGATTCATGTTTAAAACTAGAGGCCATGAAATTCACAATTTTGAAAAAGGCACCATTGCTTATCATAATTATACACTCTGCATGCGTATTTTGGTTACTTAAAACCCAGAGGTAGTGCAGAGTAACAAAGAGAAAATGCATTTTCACTTTTAGTGAAGTTCAGGGCCCCTTGGTCAGGGCTTCTTCTGTTGGGGGGGGGGTCCACAGTTGAGCTCCCCATGCCACAGGAACCACTTACCCTGGGGCCACATCTTTCAAAATTTTGGAAATTTTTAAGAATTTTATTTCATCATGCTGTTGATTAATACCAAAGTGCAGACTTCAAAGCATTAAATTATTTCAGACTATATTACCCCCCCCCAAGTACCTCTGTCCCAGGGGACAGGAAATTAACCAATTTTTGGAAGAAGGAGGTTTTTTTCCAAAAATATATATCAAGATCATTGGCATTATACCCAATAACAAAGGAAAAGATTTTCAAAGAATTCAAGCATTTTCACTATATAAACATCAGACCCCCCCCCCCAACACAAGAATCTCTAACCCAGGGACCGTGAAATTCAAAAATCTCAAAGAGGCATCCTTCTTCCTCATAACTATATACATAGTTCATTGGTTAAATACTCAGGTGCAGAAAAGAAGAGTTTTAAAGAATTTATGCATTGTCACTATATATTCAATAAAGCCACGCCCTAACACCAGAACCCCCAGTCCAGGGGCCATGAAATACACAATTTTGGAAGAGCTATCCTTATTCAACATAATTATGTACTTGGTTAGTTTATTTAATATGCAGGAGCAAAGAAGAAGATTTTCAAAGAAATAATTAATTTTTTACTATATAATCTATATAGCCCCGCCCTAGCACTAGAACACCTGACCCTGGGGCCATGAAATTCACAATTTTGGAAGAGGCAGCTTTATTCAACATAACTATGTACTTAGTTAGTTTCTTTAATGCCCATGAATAGAGAAGAAAAATTTCAAAGAATTTATGCATTTTCACTATATAATCTATATAGCCCCGCCCTAGCACTAGAACCCCTGACCCTGGGGTCATGAAATTCACAGTTTTGGAAAAGGTGATCATTTTCAACTTACCTATGCACTTGATTAGTTTATTTAATGCCCACAAACAGGAAAGAAGAATTTCAAAGAAATAATGCATTTTCACTATATAACCTGTTTAGCCCCGCCCTAGCACTAGAACTCCTGATCCTGGGGCCATGAATTTCACAATTTTGGTAGAGGACTCAATGTTGATTACAATCATACCAACAGTTTAACTGCTTGATGTCCAGGAGTAAAGAAGAAGATTTTTAAATATTGCACTAATTTTAGTGGTTTTTGCCCCACCCCCAGGCCCCAGGGGGGCAGGGACCATGAAATTCAAAATTTTTGTTCCCCTTCACCCATAGATGCTATATGCCAAATTTGGTTGAAATTGGTTCAGTGGTTTCAGAGAAGAAGCTAAAAATGTTCAAATGTTAACGACGAACGACGCACGACGCACGACGAACGACGACGGACAAAAACAGATAGCAATAGGTCACCTGAGTTTACTCAGGTGACCTAAAAATACAAAATAAACAGCAGAAACAACAGCATCTCAAATTCTTAACATGTTTAAGGTAGCAATCTATCAACAACTAAGATTTATTTTCTCATTAAGTGGGAGTGGTGGGTGGGAAATTATTATCAAAAGTGCAGAACGCTGGGAAAGCTATCGAGCAAGAGGAGGAAAGCGCCACGTGCGCCCCTCTTTTATACTCGGGGCAATCGGAGGAAAGTGTCAAAAGACCTAC